TTATAGTGAACTTTCAACCTCGTAGTTCTAAAAAATTGAATATTATTGACGATTGAAAAGAGGGAACTAACCAACTATATAGGTCTAAAACATCTCCGTGTATTGAATAGTGCGTAGTAAGGTTCGTGTCGTTCATCAATCGCGTCGTGTAATAATAATCGGATGTCGACCTACGGGTGCATGCTGCATACCCGGTTCTTATACCTCTGTGTAATATGCGGCCAGTAATTTGCATCGTTGCACTTGCACCGGTGCTCGGCAACCTGTTGCATACTTACCTTACTTACTGCCTACCGTCCGTCCGCGTCCGTGCGTCAGCCCGTTCGTTGGCGGCGCCAATTTATGTTTTGCGTGCCATGTCAATCCGAATTTCCCTTCGTGTAACGTTAGCGGTCGTTAATAGTAATAACAAAGCTGTACGCCGACACCTTATGTACCAAGATACAGGGTGATCGCGCGACTAACTCGTCGTGGCACGCATTATGCGTCCTTCTTAGAGCTTATGAACTTGACATTAACTTTACATGGATTTTAAGAAATATCCTTTAATACAGTATGCGGACGTCGTCCATCAATTATGTGAGGCTAAAAGTGGGAACAAGGATATCTCCAAGGGGAAGGGGGGGGGGGGCGCGTTAAATATTTAGAGAAGAATCTCACGTAATTAGTGGAGTTCTTATCTATATCCTTAAATCCTTATCAAAAGCATTATTGAGCTTACCATGTTAATGGCAAATTATATCTTTCTTTTATTATGACAGGTGTCAAATATAAAAGGTCACTCTGTATTTACAGATATGCGATGCGGGTACGTCATCATTGTCATGGTACTATTTACCATATATGCATGTATTTAAGTATAATAGGCACTTAGGGTTCGTTTATCAGTAAATGAGTCTGCGGTGTAAGAATTGCGTGGAATTGGTGTCGTGCGAAAGTCATTCCCATGTAGTTTCATGATCAACTATCGTAAGTTCTCTCATATGCATCATCGTCATAGGTTCGTCAGTCCAACGACTGTTGGAGCACGTACATCCACTCCTTACTATGATCAACCACATCTTCGCATTTCCCAAAAGCAAATACTATTTCCGAAAAGTAATTCAATCTAAGTTCATCTTCTGGGATTGTTTCTGCTTCTAGTGTGTTTATTATCGTGATTAGAAGGTATTCTACTATCTTATCTGTCCTCTTCCTTAATTACTTGTATAGGGCCTTTTGTTCTCATATTTTTTACAACACCTCCTCATTTCTAACTTTTCGTATCCATGCGTTGCTTATTTAATAATTAAGCATGTCGCCTCAATAAATTCCGAATTTGTTCAAAAATGCAAGCATATAATTGCAATATTATACTACTAAAGTCAGTTGGTTATTAGCAGGGGCCTTGGAAAGTGGAACGTGGAGCAAAGCAATTTGCATTTTTGATTTAATACACTATGGACTTGTGGATGTTTATCTACTTTAGGGTGTTTCATTCCCACCAGTCAGTAATGCTGGTGGGCGGGCAGTCCCTCCTGACTACGCCGGAAGGTAGGACGGAAGGCCCTCTTCAGCTTGCTTTCAGGAATCGTGGGAATAAGTGGATGGTGGTTCAGGTGAGAAAGATGAGACGGACGAAATGAAGACAGAAGAGAATGAAAGATTATCTGTAAAATATTACTGCCCCAGCATTTGCCTAAGTGATCCAAGGAAACCACAGAAAAACTTGGACCAAGGCAGACGGACCCGGAATCGAACCGGCATCCTCCCGAATGCTAAGCAATGGTCTAAACCTCTAGGTCATACCGCTCGGTTCAATTTAATATGGTTACGTTTCAATACTTTAATGAATTCATATTTAGAGTAAGTAGTTCTTGAACCGCCAGATGTCATATCTTCATCTAACAGGTCCCAATTGTTATTTTATTGTTAGCCATACCATTTACAAAAGGATAGCACTGTTGTAAATTCGGATCCTTTCGAAACGTACTGCCTCTGCTTTGGTTTACTTCCCCTTTTTGTAGATGGGTTACTTACTGCACCATCTACTGAGCCATACCATGCCGCAGTCGACGCGTCATACCACCGTCGTTGGCCGATTGTGTATGTGCCGCGTCGTCGTCGTACGTCGTTGTTGTTGCTGCTAAGATAGATCGAATCGTGACCGTAAAACGCGAGCCGCAAAAAAGGATAAAAAAAGGTTCGCGGCAGGCTTCGTTCGGTCCCTGATGAACGACGTCGACACAGAGGTAGCGGCGCGACGAGTTTATATATTAGCGGGCGAATGTCAATTCCACCCCGTCTTTGGACGTCTATAGATCAATGAATAATGTCATCATCATCACAAGGTCGTCAGTTGAACACGCACCTCCACTCTTTTCTATCCTGAGCTAATCTACGCATTTACTTAAAACTAGAACAACCCGCATCCTTAACGAACAGTAATCTAATGTAGGTCTACCTCTACCCTTCCCAACCTTCGTTTCTGGCTCTAATATGTCTCTGACTAGAAAAGGTGTCCTACTAATCTATCTCGCCTATTTCTTATTGAATCCCATAGAGTCTCTGTTCTCCTGTTCTTTCTAATACCTTTTCATTTCTAACCTTCTCTATCCACGGTATCCTCATCATTCGCCGATAACAACACATTTTGAACACTTCTAACCTTTAAATAATAATAATAATAACGGGATAGTAAAAAAAATGATTCACAGCTATGCTTTATTGATGCACGAGGGTCAGTTTAAAAAGGCGAAGTTTGCTTAACTGGATGGAATGAGAACCTTTTCACTGTACTGTTGCGCTTATCTTGTTAACCTCTATTCTTTCCCCACTTATCCACAAGTAGGTGAGTGATTTTATACTGCAAAATGTGTCGAAAAAGCTATTAAAAAGGCTTATTTAATTCAAAAATTTAGTACTGACTGTGCTCCCCTAAATTGGCCTAAGGATATTGTAATTACTGTGTGTTGTTTTCGTGATTTTTGCTCATTTCGTAGTAATAATTACTACCGTTCGCACAGTATTGATGGCAGAATCAACAAGTTACATTCATTCATTGTAATTATGGCTTTATTTTAATTGGATGCGACTGTAGATTGGGCTTTATTAATTCGGTACTCGGGGTCTCGGTTAAAATTGTACATGGATTATCTCTAGTACATATGTGTATATTAATCATAAGTCATAATCATTATCTGAGAAGAGTTAGAACATCTAGCTTACCGATTATTTTAAACTCGGAGGCACCCATAAATGAAAATTTTGATTAATATAATTAGGTATGAAATTCTTCAAATGACGCGGTAATCGCTAAATGTAGCATTGTACTACGGCGCCATATGTAGGATTTCATAAAACGCGCTGTGTTAAGGCAACAGGTAGAGTTGGTTGTTGTGTTCTGTCGAAGCTGTCTGCAACGTGCTGATGAGATCCAGCAAGATCGAAATCGCGATCCGCGTCTGGAATTTCTTTGTTTTATAATTAGGTATAGTAATTAATTTCCAATGGTTGCTATTTTAGTCATATTAAAAAAGGAATAATTAAAAAACTATTTATCCATAAAATCAACAGATAACCAAGTTTATTAAACAATCAGTCAATAGTTTGAGGTTAAGTAAGTTAAGACCTTACAATGATCAATGATTATTCCTTTTGGCAGGACGAAAACAGTTGGGCTAATTACTTTACAAATTATGTATATTCTTCTTAGGGTTTTTGATCCTTCTGATGGAACCGAGAGTCCTACAGAAATTTTTGTTAAATTTTAAGCTTTCGGCGCAAAAGTTTTTGTATTTGCTATTATTTATTGTATTTTGACTCTAATTCTTCAATTTTAACGTTTTTCGACTGAATACAAAATGCACATTTCACTTTTTTCACAACTGTGATTTTGAGACACGCTGGGAATTGTTCTGAAAAATCACTATTGACTCTATCTGTAGTCTGACCATTATCATAGATACGTTTGCTTCATCTTAAGCATTAAATATTAATTTGAAATCGTTTTTCGATTTTTTATCCACTACAAACTTCCTCAGATTAATGAGGAAAATATTTTTGTTGCTGTTGTCACATCCCCGCCGGGAATCGAACCCGGGACCTTTGGCTTTACGCACCAATGCTCTGACCACTAAGCTTAAAGGTGTCATTTATAAAATTTTGTCGTTTTTATCATGTATACTCTATAATCCACATGTCGAAACTTTTTTTGGTTTTTTGAGTTTCGTTATAGGGGATTTACCAATGCCGTATTTCTTTTGAATTGTCATCTACTAATTTAGGTCTAACAAATGTTTACTGGTAATGGTTATTCTGTCTGCCTTTGGCGGGACAATTGAAGCGAAATGGCAACCACGAAGGTGGACGGGAACAGACGCACGTGGACGTTCGTTCTTGCAAAACGTCCGTACGTCGCGTCGTTCGACAGATTTATTTTAAAGCCTTCAAGCGCAGACTTTTATCGTTATTACACGCGGCACTCGAAATGATAATGACAATTGCAATAATGGTACGTTCGTTTCGCCTTTTCTCCGGTACTTATTGCCTACCTACAGCGAAGGTTTCCGGCGCGGCACGACGGGACATTTCAATAAACGTTACTGCATTGATCGTAACATCGATTTATGACAACTTGTCACTCCAACAACTTTTATAAAATAGGAAATAAATTAAATCACGCTGGCACTGTTCTTCCCCTTTGTAAGTTTCGTTTGAGTCTGATGTTCAAACGATTTGGAATTAAAAGAAAATGCAATTTTGTGAGCGAAAATTTGAAATAGATAAAATTAATAGTACAGTGCCCACACTTTAATCTGGCACAAAAGCAGGACGATCAATAGGCGCTAAGGAAAGAATAGTTAAAGCTTACACAGGCTATGAGAATATGCTACATACCCAGAGGAAGCCTCGTGTGTGAGGTGAAACGTTGGAGTAGTTTCGTAACTAATAGAAACCTTCGTCCTATGTACGAGTTTGAGTCCTTTTTATAAACTGTATGTCGAAGATTTTTTACTTACCCAATTACTCTTGAGACCGGAAAACTAAAACAAAAAGAAAATATACTTTAGAATCTCGTTAAGAACTTAAAATGAATAACAAATAATCCCATAATTTTATAATATTTTTAATTCTGATTTTAATTTCGGCACACCTTGTGCAATAAAAATTTTAAAGGAATAATAACTACTCCATCCTGAAAGTCCATTCTAAATATTAATGTGAAAATTCATTTTCAATTTTTTACCCACTATAAACCGCCTTAGGTTAATGAGGAAAAGTTTGTTACTGTTGTCACGCCCTCGCCGGGAATCGAACCCGACCACTAAGCTACGAGAGATGACAACAGCATTAACCTGAGGTAGTTTATAGTGAGTGAAAAATTGAAAAAGAATTTTCACATTAATATTTAATATAAATGAAAGAATCCGATGAGTAACTCGATCTCATCAGCACATCATAAGCTGACCAAGAACTTACATTGTCCTTACTAATGAAATAGTTTTATCTTAGAACGAGAAAAGTCGTTAAAATGATAAGCACTTGATGGTTAAACGAACACGTAAGTCATCAAGTCATCGACCTATTCGTATATATATCTATGTAATGTTTTAAAGTCTGACGGACCAAACGAGGCTAAGAAACGAAGAAGAAGATGGGTTAAGAAAAAAGACTTGCGACGCTCATTAACACATATACGAGCTTGCGTATGCTTAGGCTTCATGTGGGTGTCCGTGCGGTCTTCGAATTTTTACCGCGAATGATTGCAAACGGTTCATTCGACGAATAATATGCGTATGAATATGGACTGTGTTCGGTCAAATAAATTAATGTTAATGTCGGAGGTAGACAACGTCGATGGGGCGCTAACGGATAACGCAAATATAGCTGTTAACTTGGCGATTTGATTATTGTATCTCCTCCGCTCCGGCTCATTCACTCTCTACCATAACAATAATACAATACCTACTACATACATACGTACGAACTTGTGCATATAAGTCGTGTCACTAAGCCGAGATCAAACATATTATGTTAAATAGGAAACTAGTTAGATGAGTGACCCATCCCTTGTAAATAAAGCGCGGGGAGCACGGCAAGAACGATATAACCATGGGAAAGGTAAGCAAACGCGCGGACGAGATGGTATTAAGTTGGCCGTGCGACGACGATGACTACAAACGCGACGCGACCGACGCGCCAGTAGCGATATTGCACGAGGTGACGATGATCATCAACAGCAACTCTTCTTCAAATTGATGCTGTACCGCGGTGGAATGAAAAAAAAGGATGCCTGCGTAAACAGTCTCTCTTGCTCTCTGCTCAAGTGTTCTCGCGAATTTTAAAAAGTTGCCTACTCAATAGGTTAACGGTTTCAGATACGTATTAATCTTATGACATCGAACTCTGAAGATCTCGTTCTTCACAAATTATTTTCTAATAAGTTTGTACGTAAATCTGAAGGTTATGTACGTGGAATTGATAGAAGCATTTTTTCGAACGAAGCGAGTTCGTTCACGAAAAATTATAGTTATCATTCGGGAACGTTCTCGAACCTACAAGAAAGTTCTAAAACATTCTCGAATTCTGTAGATGTATGGCATTCAGGAAAAATTTGTGACTTTCGACAACGTTTTGACTAGGCTTCGGAACTTAATTAACACTTTAACTGACTCTCTATATAGAGTCCTTTGGAGCAATAGTCTTTTAAATAGTATATCGGGATTCACTTGAGGAGCTTTAGAGGCATGTACGGACAAACTAAATGCATTTACTTTTTAATTAGCTTTATCTAAACAAGTTTATCGAAGGCTTTGCGAATAATCTTTAAATATTAATGGATTATGATGGTCAGTATTAATTAGGCTGAATTAAACACACAAGTATTTTAAAAAAATACATCAAAATTGCAAATTAATGTAGGATCAAATTTTCATCAAGTAAAAATCGAATCTATTCAATTAAAGCATGAGTTAACACATAATTCTATAGTCCAATTTTCAAGCAAGTGTTAAAAAATAAATATAAAAATTTAAAATTGTAGAAATTTACTTGTATATGAATTAAAATATGTTGAGGAAGTGGAAATACCTTTTATGGGAAGAAAAACTGAAATATATAAACGTGTTTTCACGATTGGTTTTTCTTTTCTTCGTGAAAATTGATTGTCCGTTACTAGGTATTCATACGTAAATCTATATGTAGGTCGCTTTTTAATAATGCATCCTACAAAGAGATTGTTTTGCTTAACTTTAATAATCTTGCGTACCTATAATACTGAAGTGCGTGACAGGATCAGTGTTCGTGATCGTTATTGTAACTCGTTTTTTTCTGACTCTATAACGCGTCTCAAATTTGTTAATTTAACACCTCCTAATTTATTACTTCACTTGTATATGATACTACGAAACGGTGAAAGAAAATTGTAATACGTTTTTATAAAGAAAACTGTATCGCAATTCTTATGCCTAAAACTGGAGCAAACAATTATAATGAGTTTTTTTATGCCCATCGCATACATAATCTCGATTATTAATTTATGTATTAAGATAAGAAAAACTAAATGAAACATTTCAGAAGTACCTAAACGACCCTTTTCGAGAAGAAATAAATATACTACAATTTACAAATCATTCAGTTTTTTTTTATTAGCTCAATTATGTAATATTTTCACGGAGAAAATGAAGAACGAAAGTTTATCTAAATATTAAAGNTTATTAATTAGAAAATAAATTTAAGAATTCAGTTGCTAATATTGTCGTGTATCATGATTTTTAACAAATGTGTATTACTTGTAAAATAGTGTAATAAGAATTGGGTTTCATGCTTAACCCAACGTTGATGTCTCTTTCAAGAACTTGAAAACGATTCGATAATCAATCAATACGCAATTTCAATTCAATGAATTCAAGAAAAATTTGTATATCTATTGTATAATTGGCAACGTTAAAGTTATTTCTTGTTTAAGACGTGTCTTTTTGCTCTAATTTATGTTACAAAGTTTTTAACATAAAGGTTTTCCTTGCTTTTTTCTACATCCTTTTCCATTAACTTCTTGTTTAAGTAAAGTACCTATGTGTCCTTAATATGTACTAACAAATATTTTGCTTTCTTGAGGCACATTAAATTAATCTTGAGGTGTGTAGGTTATGTTGACGAAGTACAGTTTCAAAATGTCGTTATTTCAAAAATTTCTCGAAAAAAAGAAAAAGACCGGTGCTACGGATGGCGCGGAATTGTTGTTTTCTGGCGCTGATGGTCAAGGTGCAATTATGAGCATTGTGCGAAGCAAGTCAACCTTGGCGAATCTGCCTAATAACTGTGTCATTAAAGAACGATGATCAGAAGAAATGGCTGCAGACGACAGACCATCTGTATAATACACGTAACAAGTTGTTCGTTTATACAGGATGATTATTTAATTGTACAACGTCCAAACTTGTATCATACACATATAAACGTTTCTGACTTGAAATTATAATCTATAGAAACGAGATGGTACAAAAATCTGAGGCTAACTGACGTTTAAAACGTTTAAATAAATGATGAAAGGGTTGCTAAGGCCTACAATCGATGTCTAGGTTAATCAGAGTATTTAATTAAAAATTACCAATTCTGATGTATTAGTCGGTATTAAACAATTGAAAAAAATTGGACGGGTCTAAATGGTTACGTTCGAGTGTAATGTTGGTTGCAGATACGTTATAATAACTAGTAAATTTTTAATGTTTGACGTGTGTTGTTGGTTGCGTACACAAATTTATACACAGTATAAAATTATTGAAAAATTGTAAGGGTTAACTGTTACCTATAAATGGCTTAGATTATGTTACAGTGGGAATTGTTTCCGTTACTACGTATCACTGAAAATGGCACCGTCTAAATTTGGGCGGATTGATTTATAACTGTTATCAATCTAACTGGCTCATTTATCAACAACAGCTTCTTTCAATCCCAGGGAAAAATTCTGCGGCAGGTATCGGTTAACGTAGTCCGATGTGTTTTGTGATTATTGGCAAGGTATAACTGCAGTTACAAATAATGTTTGTAAATATTGTAGGGTATTTTAAGAATGTACAAAAGTAAATTATACTTCGTGTAATCTAAAACACTTTGTGACCAACTGAGAATAGCCAATTTAGAGAACGATTGGAATCTATAAAATTTAAGGAGCTCTGTTCTTTAGTTGTTAAATGTAAAATTAATACGTATCTATTTTATTACTTCTCTACCGTAACATTGTTACCCTGTTGAGCGGTTATCGACAAATGTCGTAAATCCTGCTACTGCATGTTAAAGTCAATCTATATTTTCTTAACACAAACTATAAATCAAGCACTTGAACAGTTTCACAAATTTATTTCTCCTTATTAGGGTACCATCAGGAGTAACTATTATTACAGTTAAATTAACGAAGTGCTGTCGGTGACCGAATAAGGCGAAATACACATACATAGAGTTTACCATTTTTGTGAAAGAAATTGCCTGGTTTAATTTATTATATTAAGAATGTTTTAGCAAGAGCTTACGGAATTTTCATTTTTTAAACTATAAAAGTACCCCTACTACTTGTTGCAATTATTTTGCTACTTTAGACAAGAAAACAGAACTTACTATTTTACATTTAAAGGTTCTACTATTTTGTAAATAAAAAAGAAAAGCAGAATCCTTATTAGATTAGGGCTGTAGAAACTTCAGGTACAATAATACAGTTTTTTTCCCCACATATTTAGCTGGATAGAGCACTTTAAAATATTCATATGAGGGTTAAAGGACAGGGCAAGTTAGAAAGTGTTTTATTATAGAAGGTTATATTAATTTTGGAATAGGTTGTCAGTAACAGCTGATATCTTATACGCGAAAATATAGAAGTCGAGGGAGATATATGTGAATATAGAATTGCTAATTGAAAAACTACCGCCGGTTTCTAAGAATGTTAAGGAATTGAAGGAATATGGTATAAAAACTTGTAGATACATTTATTAGTGATTAACAAGGGTGTAATACTGCAAATGACAACGTTATTCAAGAGATGATGATGACA